ATATACATATGCATTGAAATATGTATATTCGAAAAGCTATTTAACTCCACCGTCTGATTCAGTTAACCAAATAGACGTATCACGATAAATTGTTCATGCTAGCCTCTAATTTTAGATTCGACCTGACCATCTAAATGTGACAAGATTTTAGATTCAGAAAACCTTTTTTTACTGCTCTACTTTCGAATGAATTAGCACATAATCATAAATTACCATATACCTCCTAGCCTGAGCTATTTTTGTTTTGCTGTTATTTTTGCGTTTTTTAAATAAATCACTTGCTGCAACTGACCTATTAATATTTTGAACTTACCTTTCATATAACAAAACACCTACAACACGACGTCTATAGTTTTAACTAAGTTATTGTGGAACAGTTTATTAATAGCTGATGGCAATAAAATAGGTACGCTTCCTCCGGATTGTATTTTTAGAAAATTTTGAAAATAAATACTGTTTGACCAACGAGTTTTGGAGCCAGACTACTTTGTGCCGTAAGATCTAGTAAGTATTTCAATTTCGAATAAATTTTTACTATCTGACTAAATATATCATGTAGATGTTTATACAACTGCCCTGATCAATGCTATGACCTAAGTTAACTGAGTAACTAATATCTATTGTGTATTATGTAAACAGAAAAAAGATTTTCAGTATAATTCGAATGACATTTTTCAATCGTCTCTAAACAACTTAAGCGTCTCGTGCCGCTGGGCAATTAACAGATTTGCATAATTAAGAATTAGCGCGATTGTTGAAAACCATCAATTACTTTCAAAATACTGGCGTTGAAAACTAGTTCAATAACGCCTTTGAAAACTATTTGGCTTCACCAAAGCGTCGTTAGCTCATTTAAAGTTGCAATTGTTCTTAGTACAATTGTTTTGATGATTTATTAATTACTGTACCTTTATTCAAACTTAAGGTTTTTGTTTTTCGGAAATGCAAGAAAAGAACCTATACTATTTACGATAGCCTGGCATAGGCTAATAGCTACTGCTTCGAGGAAAACTTGCTTACGTAGTAACCAATTATTCCTAAAGAGTTAAATAACATATTCGTTTGTTTTAGGAGTTCAACTGGTCATATAAATAGACTTGAATACCCATTAGATAAAAAGTAAAAGTTGTTATCTTATTCTATGCAATCAGCAAACAGTACAAATTATTTTCTTACAATTTAAAAAAATAATGGGAAAGGAGCAACGATGAAAATAATCGGCATACAAAATACCAACGCATACAATTTTTGAATAAAGTACCTATTTGATTAATAAATTATTTTATGGTATTATATATACATATTATTAAGCTTTTCACTTGTTCAAATGCTAAAGCATGCTAGATATTTTGAATTTTCGAATAAAATTACTTCAAGTGTAGTTAGGAAATATATAAATTTAACAAATAACTGTATGAAAAAGCAGATTCAAGGCGTGGTTAAAAACATTTCATAAAAATATTTTTTCTTGCACAGCTGGTAAAACTGTACATGAAAATCACGCATAATCGCAAAATATAGCCAGTAGAGCGATATTTTCCCAATAAATATCCTTTATAAGGTTTACTTAAGCTTTCAGCAAAAAATATGTCTAGGTGCTGTTTGGGAGAGAAAAAAACACAAATCTATACGCGTTGTTTTAATTTGTTTGCATTTCAAGATTCGCATTGTTGTATCTTGTATGTGGTAAATAATGTAAAAAAACACACATTGTTTGGTTTTGTCTACAATATGAACGAGCGTAGATTTATCCTCCATTTAATCTGTCTTCCACTACAGTTATTATTCCGGAAATTAAATTTTGTTGCATAAAGTCGTCACGAAATTCACATATGTATCTACTGAATTTGATTAAATGATGTAATTTCCCACGATTACGTCGGCTGAATCCAAGTACATTTCATCCGCCTGTCCTAATCTGCTCCATAAATATTAGTCCTAGCTTGAAAAAGCGTACAAAAATAATACGAGGCATTATGTTTGAGTGAACTAAAAGTTATGTTCGTTCAATTTTAATAAAAGCTTTTTCTGTGAAGCGTTTATACTCCGTATAAAATTGATTTAAACAAAGTTATTATTACGTAGGTTGTTACGCACTGTTGCTTGCTTGCTAATATATCTAATTATTATTGAATTCAAAACCTGTGAAGTTAGTGAATTAAAATAGTCACAGAAACAGAAAACAACAGATATGAACATACATTGACTTAATGTAATTAAATCACTGGTTTGCCTATTTTAATACTATCCATCTTATAGTGAAGCATTAAAATTCTTATCACAAACTATTTTATAATTTATTACAAAATAATTTAAAGCCTAAAATTTTATATTGAAGAATACTTGGATTATTCAGTAAAAGTAACTAGAGTAGACAAAGCGATCGACTATTTAAGGAAAACTTAGAATTTCTTACAAACTAGGTAAAAATCGAATCTAGAGATAATATTGCAAATGCGAAAAGAGTTCTACAATCTTTCTGACGAAATTTTTGTAAAAAATATTTTGACATGTGAATAACAAGTCGCCTACCGTTCAGCGCGTCGAGCGCTAACTCCTTTTATACCACAGACCTGGAATCTGGCACAATATTAAAATTTTAATATAGACTGCTAATTTTAAATCTGGCTACCTACTAATGTATTAAAATATGAATGCATTCGTCCCAGGCAGTCTCGTCAGTAATAAAATGACTTTTATATGCAATTCTGGAATTCTGTTATATACTAGTCATTCTCTAGATTGTTTAAAGTTTTATTTTAGTTAGTATTTTAACTACTATGAAGCAAGGTGCACAAAATATACTACCCTGATTGATAATTATGGAAAATTTAATAACAGTGTCTTACATACCTTTACCCTTACCCATTAATTAAATATCGTCGTTTCAACAAACTTCGTGTATCAAAATTTCGAGATTTTGTGTTCCAATTTAACCTTTTCGGTAAATATAAGGCTGATAATCTGGACCTCTGCCAACTATGTCATACATGAGCAAATATTTGTTTTTCCATAATGTGGAGAAATTTAAGCTATTTTCGACAAATCTGCCAATTCTTTGTGGGTAACTCGAATGGAATTTACAATTACTCATAAAGCCAAAATATTTAGATTATATTATATGCAGGGTGGCCATTTTCTGAATTTTTGTATGGGTAACTTCTACCTTTTTAAAGATAGAGAATCCGTCAAATGGGCAAAATTGGGCAGAATTCGATTGCCTATTCATTACGGTTTTCAAAATTTAGCTACCCGACTTGGTTCCTGAAATATCCGGAAGAGACAAAAATCAACACTTTTTTAATTATCACTTATTACGTAAACTGCTTAACTTAGAAAAAAAGTTAAAACTGCCCTTAGTACCACTTTTTGCGTTGAATCCAATAAACTAGCACTCGTTATCATAGTCAACTTAATTTACGAGATAAAAAATAAACTTATGGGTTTTTAAATGGTAATCATAGTTGGTGGTGGGCCCTTTAAAATCTTTTCCATATTTATATTGTGATTATAAAAGAATGGACCAATCAATTTATCACTAAAAACGCCTCACCAGACATTCACAAAAAAAACAAGAAACAAAAAAAACACGTTGATCTCGCCTATTTTCAATTAGATGATGATTTTCATTAGCCCAGTAAACATGATTGTGTCTGTTAATTATTCCATTTTTGTTTTGTGCTTTGTGTGATAATATAGTTCTTGTTTCCATAGCCTACTACACATTTTTTATCTTCTTTTGAAGTTTTACGGCAACAAAAGGAGAAAAACATACAAACAGTTATTTCGTTTGACTGAATCCTTATTTTTTTCTGAATCAATTTCTGGTAATCATAGTTGGCCCACAGCCAACTATAAATAAAAGAAAGATCTTAATTTGGAACGTTCTAACATTTGAAATGCAAAAGAGCTAAAGTAATAGTGTGCTATAATGTCTATTATATTTTTGAATTTTACGATTACGATACAACGATTTTTAAATAAACATTCCTATCACCTGAGAACTTTCCAGGCTTTCACTTTCAGATTCAGGCGCAAATACATTAATTGTGTTACGTGTTAACTGTAGTAATGTTTAATCTTCATTTTTGAACATACGTAATTATAATCTCACACATTTCTGTTTCAAAACGGAGCCGACCATTACAGAATTATTTTATGATCTAATAAAATTCGTAATGAAGAACATCCTGTTATTAGGAAACTGCCTGGGGAGAAAACCTTGTGGAAATTGCAAGCACCTGGCTAATATTTTTTAAAGGGGATTTTTAGAATACGCTTTAGTGCATATTTAATTTTTAATTAATAGTGGACTTTTTGTATTTTCATATCAATGGGACTTTACATTTCTAAAGAAAGTCGCTCATTTGCTAAGGCCATGTTTTGGAAGGATAGATTAGAACTAAACTCAAAAGTAATGGGGTCGATCCCTAGTATATCAGATTAGCTGATTGGCGACATCCATGACATAAATATAAAGTTTTATCAAGGGCCTCGGTGTAGTGAATTACGTCCGAGGATTAATTTAACCTTTCTAATGCTTTCACTTCATGTATCAGATTTGCATATGTACAAGCAACTTACCGAAGACAAATTAAACTTATTTTCTGAAAATGTTGCTTATATATGAGAAAAGCCTGCAAGTAATAAATAGAAACTAATAAAAAATAACATTGTTGTTATTGTCTTTATTTTTGTAGATCTAAAAGCAAACCAATTAACAAACTTTCGGAACTTTTACACATAGAAAGTAGTTGAATGTCATGCTTCCTAGCTATTCTGAAATATATTATTTCCATTTGCAAATAACTAGTAAATTTTAATTCAGATAGCCGCCTTTCGCATAAATTACTACAAGACAGCTACAAAAAGAAAGCTAGTTGTGAAGTTGAACTGATTAATATTTAAAGAAACCGAACCTGATTTTCCTCCTTTTTTATTCAAATTTATTAAAAAATTTTTATTTAAAACTTTCGATTGCTTTGAAATCCTTGATTGCTATCAAATTAAATTAAATAGCAAATAAAATTTCGAAACTATTTAAAGTTTGATAATTAATTTTACTGGAAATTAGTTACATCGTTCTTAAAACGATTTCTGAACACTCAGTTGATGTATCGGAATGTGGGTTTTTATTCTCGATAACAAAAGCTTTACTTGGCATAAAGCTAAGATTAGGTACGGTGTAAAATTGATTTCATTCAAGACTGGTCTAATTAGAATCAGGTGTTAAACTTTGGATTTTTTCTAGGAGGTATTTCTTTTATAAATCCTATATTTCTAAATACAATTTCTGCACAGGTAATACAGAGGAATGGAGGTTTCAGCACTCGATAACGAAAGCGTCCGTTGACATGTAGCATAAATTAAATTTTAAACCACTAATTATTTACAATTTTCATAATTTTCACAATCCGAAAATTTTTTAGTCTTTGTAGTAGTAGTAGTGGTTTTCCATTTTTACATCATACAATTCAGTTCATACATGTGAAACATCAAAATGAGTTGTAACATTCGATAACAAAACCTTCAATTTACATTTGGTGTAATGCTCATAGACATCAAAAATTATGTCTTATGTATTTTGAATAGCTTCTCTCAAGTTATGTACATAACTTACAGACATCAATAGTGATGTCTGTTTAAAAAACATTGCACCTGAATTCACCTACACTATAGATTTTTTTACACTTACAATTTAGATAAAATGGGAAACCGATTGAGGAAGACACATCATTATTATTATAACGATTTTACTGAGCGTCAAACAATACAATCTCAACAATCGTGAACATGCAATGCTTTAGACAAAATTCAACTTTGCGATGTAATCTACATTCTACTTGGTTGAAAGATTAAGAATTAATCCAGTTTACAAATTAGCCACTGTACATTAAACGAAATATATCATCCGCATTTTATGCATTTACTTATTTCACTGCTGCAGTTCTCAACACTATTATTCTTAAAATTTTTTAAAAATTCAACGCTGTTGCAAATTATATTAATACAATATATTTATTAGAATGATATAAATACAATTGCAAAGACACATTAATTTCATCCAGAAGAACTTGAAAGTTACGATACGTTGATACAACCATGTAACTTTCTTATGATCTCAGCACCCCCAAATCAAGATCCTGGATTTGCCACTGGCTGAATGTATTCAGAATTTCTCTAACATGCGATTTATAGCCATAAATGAACACGCTCGTCTCGCTCAGTCGAACATTACATGACATTATTGAAAAACGATCAATTGGACGAGGTGGAACCGTACTTAGCTAGCTAGGCCACCTCGATCACCTGACCTAAACAATCGGAAGTTTTAACTTAAAAGAACCAATCATTTAAAAAAGGTACTCCAGTTGGGCTTAACCAACCATTTTGAGTCAAAAACCACTACAACGTTCAACATCTTTATCCGCGAATGTATCGATAAAGCAAATGAAATAGCTACACGAATTTCTGCTGGTTCCGATTTGTGCTGCCCGGCCGGTTAGAAGCCGAAGTTTATTTAGAATTTCTCCCAGACAAATGATGCATGTCCATAAATGGGCTCCGCCTTATTTCGGACCAATATTACATAAAACGATTGAATATGATTCATTTCAAAGAGGTGGAACCAAAATAGGCCACCTCAATCACTTGACGTAAACAATCGGGACTTAACTTAGCTAGTAAGCAGAAGCGAAGGAAGGAGTTGAATGTTTACTAGTTAGAATTTATAGTGCCACCACTGTTAAAAACTGTTAAAAGAGTCAGACACAGTACAATACACACACAATTATAATTCTGTATATTTATAAACTAAACATTTCCAAAACACGTTAATTTCACGCAGTAACTGAGAGGTTACGATCGTCGATACAACGATGTAATTTTTTTATGATCTCAGCCCTCCCCCTCAGATTAAGATCCTGGTTTCTCCACCGTTTGAATGTGTTTTTCAATTATTTATTATTCTTTTCGTATCAGATTGCAAAAACAAATTAAAAATTGAAGCAAATAACGGATATACTGAATCGGTATTAAACATTTGTAAAAAAATCTTGATGTACTTCTTTGCATAAAATATTTATATAATTTTATATTAAATTTGCAGGAGACCGACCTTGCCCCAGTCCTGAAGGCTCTCAACGATGCTGTTACGCGCACTTTCCCAATGATTAAGTATACGCCAATCTCGCGCCAAGAGAAAATGAAAGCCTTTGTCGCTGATTATTTCCCAAGGGCAGTGTATGATTTGGTTTACTCTTAAAGCGTAACACTTCTGGCTCGAAATGCTAAAAATCACGAAAAACATTTTAAAATATGATTTCATACTACATTGGGAATGTTGATATTTGTTTATTTAAATAGAGAAGACTTAAATTATGCTTGAACCGAGCTAGTTTAAAATTATTTTTTATTTACATGTGTTTCCTTTTGTACTGATAATAGTTGAAGCTTCATTCTGACCTACTAAACCATCTTTATTATTCAAATTAAAAAAATATTTTACTTATATTTTAAAGATTGAATATTCGGTAATCTATGTAACAAGGGAAGTGGAACATAGAGACGATTTCCTTACGTAGCTTTGTAATTTAATTTACTTCACTATTTTGTAGAGTTTTATAAATTAGTTAATCGCTTTATTAGTCACTAGTCGCCATTATTCATAAGTATATCGTCCCGTACATTTTCTGAAATTTTGCCTACGGTCTCCCCCTAATAATGTTATTGTAATTACCTATGACATGACTTTTGGCCCAGACTGGAGCTTCCGTACTAATGTAACATAAAATGGATGCTTGACCCAGAAATTCTGTGTCGGTTCTCAAAGAGCAGATGGTAGAGCCACCAAGCTGAATTATCCAAATGTAGTTTAATTTGTGTTTCCCGCACCGATTTAAATACATTTTTTTTAATTATATACATACAACCATGTACTTGTTTATTGGATAATTATGATTGCAAAATAATGTATTGCAGTAAGTACAGTTTTCTTGAATTTTGAATGTAATATTTTATTAGTATTAATCAAATCTTATGCGTGAAAAGTTGATTTCATTATTTTGAATAAAGATTATGTTGATTATATTGTTTTCTTTTAGTAGATATATTTCCAGAGTTATCTTTTCATGCAAATATGGGGTTTTGAGGTAAGTCCTCTATCCAGAAGGATGTCGAAATATTTTTGTTTTGCTGATTGCGGCAGTTGATGTGGAGGTTACTGTGGGACATGATTCTATTCTCTTAGTGGCTCATTCCATTATCCATGTGTCTGAATTAAGTGTCACTAGTTAACAATTTGATATACTGGTGAAGTTCCGTTGTATATTTCTCTATGCCATCATCGGAATTGTATGTAATAGAAGTAGCCAAGATAGCCGTATTATCTGCTTATGATGATAAGCTAATTTTAATCGATGAGGAGAAGTTTGCATTTTAAATCAAGCACAACATTAGATTTAGTACACTTTTTTAAAAACTTGTCAAGAGCCTTTCATACATCCAAGAATGCAGCTAAGCAGCAGCTCTTACTCGCAGGAGCTTTGCCCATCTTGTTCCATAGTGCCGTGCTTTTGTCGGGTGCCGAATTGTTGTTCTCGCATAATTTTAGTTTCACTATTTTTCGCAGCTTCTTCAGGTATTTCTAAAATACTGAGAATAAAACAAGTAAGACTTATTAGTATTAGTATGATAAATATTTATCCATTTTTTCCTACGTTTGCGGAAAATTATAATTATCCGAATTTATAAACTAACCATTTTGGAGTATCGTATTTAGTATTTGAGTCAACAGCTTGTACCATGAACTGAGAATACCCACAACAGTTTTTCCGGGCAATTCTAATTCCTCCTGCTTAGAATCTCCGAAATGATTTCATTTGCAAAGGTTTGAGCTATCTTTCCAACTTTACACAGCCGATAACTGTGTGTTTTGAGAGGCGGATGATGCGAGAGTGGCTGGGACTGATGACCACTTTTCAATTTGTATTTAAATGAAATGGTATGTATCTACGATTCAGAAACATGTCTTTTGATTGCAAAAAAATGAACTCTGGCATTAAAAATTCCACTAGTAATTTAGTAATGGGGAAAGTTTACTACTTACCTCGAATCTGGCCAACGGATTGACGACGAACCCATATCACTTGCAAATGTTTCTTTAAACTGATAATAGACATGTTAAACATAGATAAGTTAAACATGTACCTCTCGAAAAAAGACGAAAGAAGCAAGAAGAAAGGCCGTCATCTATGCTGTCAAATCCAGAACTAGTTAGTTTGAATCAGAATACACATACGTTTAGTATACCGATACTGTTCTAGAAACTAACAGCACACTTGGGTGTTGAAACCAAATAACAGAATCCTAATCACTTTTGAAGGTGCACCTCTACGAAATGAACTGATTGTTTATGGTGCAGCTAACATTTTGGAAATTTATCTCGTCTTGCTCAGTTTTCAAATAGCCTACATTTTTTGCAGCAAGTTTTAGTAAGCGACAAATCAACACAATCAGTCCGGATGTTGTAAGATGAATTTACCCAATTATGACGCTCGGAAATTATTCGCATTGTGGTGTGCAAATGTCTCGAAAAATAATTTATGAATATAGTATTTTTCAAGCAGATATATCAGTAAGAAATACTTAGCAAATAATTTCAAAATAAAATTGAGCTGCAAGCTACTTAGTGATTTAAGGCCGGATAATGTGAAGGTAAATTAATCGAATAATCATTATTTCATAACGTTGACGAAACTTTATTAACTGTTTTATATTGTTTGTGTTCTATGAGTTGCTGCACTAAATATACACTACTCAAAATACAATTTGATTGAATATTTTATCTGATGACGATTTAATAGCTTCAAAGGTTACCTTAGGCTAATTTGAGAATAAGATATAGGTTTTCGGTCAATGGATAACCTTTGCGCATAGCATTATGTTTTAATTTGAACTTACTTGTTTGATCTTTAGGGCTTGAGTCGTAAATATATAATGAGAGTTATGCATGAAAAAAGGTCTGTACAACGAAACCCTTTGATTTTTAATCTAGAGAGACATTATTAAAATACATTATTTAAAATGTGATGACCACATTCGCTCTCCTGTCCCGACGGTCGATTTGCGATTTCTATTTATTTTAATGGACAACTTACAAGTTTTAAAAGTTTTGAATAAGAAATACGGTGTACTCCAAAAATATGTAGATATATATTGGAAACACATTACGTATGTTATAATAACTATGAACTGAAAATCAACATGCGAGCAAATAAAATGTTAACAGAAAATTTACGTTTAATGTTTTAATGTGCTATTTTTAATTTTCTGGTGAATGAAGCAGGGCATTACTTAAAAGGAAGTAAACTTTGCAGGAATTGCTCAGGTACTGGGAGCCAAACGCTGAAAATTAAACTTATTCAAATATGAAACAGTAAAATTATCAATAATGGGATTTACAAAATTGCTCCTCATATTTCAGCATTTTAGTCTTCTAGCCTACTTGAAAAATACTTAAAAATTATAAAGGATATATGGATATGTAAATACCAAAACGAGCATTAAGGAAAACAATCTTTGGAACAAGTACCACTAACTTATATTATGAATTATTCAATATTCTACTCGGGAATAGCAGCGTTTGAAGCTAAAAAGCATCGTCCAACATTATGTCGCTTTTAATCCATTTCAGCTTATTAAAACTTGTATAACCTTGGGTTTTGTAATTCATATTAATGTTAACGGCTGTATAAAAAAAATTATTCGAGAACAACGATTAGTGCGTAGAAGTAACCCAAGTTTATTCTATCCGGAAGTAGGTAGTTGTTGTCGAGCAAAACATACTCTAACTATTTCATAATTTAATTCCATGGGAATGACTATATTTCCCAAGTTAATTAATTGAAAAACTTTTCCACTCTTCTGTCATATCTACACATCTGAAGTTACAGGATATTCCCGAATTATAGATTGCCATAACAATATCCAAAAGAAGTCATGGTAGCATCAAGTTAGCAGTCAAGTGAAATAGTGAAAACTTTTAAAGTTTGAATGTTGGGAAAAATAATTATTTCTAATTGAATATTTTTTAAAATTGCCAATGGATGTTTTTGAAAACTGTATGGATCCACCTGAAATACCTTGTCAATATATTATTACCGAAGAAATGTATAAAGAAGACCTATTTTGCAGACACAACGCAATAACTTCCGATGATGGCAAGTAATTTCTTGTTTTTATGTTCGGTAGTATCTGTGACATTTCAAGATGGATTTTTTATTAAAACATAAAAAATATCCGAGCTAATAAATTTAAAATGGAAGTTTAGGTGTTGCTGAACAAGTTGAAAGTGTGAATTTACATAGAAGTCTAATAATATAAAAAGAGAGACTTACGATGTTCTTCGTGTCAAAGACTAAATATCCCAAAGATTTCTCAAAAAATCGAAAAACATTTGGACCCCGCAAATTTTGATTTAAACAAAATTGCTCGAAGGTAAATAAATATCACCATCTGGCAAGTAGTCTCTTTTAATGAAAAATGAGAGTCTAGTGGCATATTAATATAAAACGCTTCAAATTGTTTTTCCAAGGACTTAATTTTTTTAAATTTGAATTAGTACTGTATAACTACTAATCTAGTCTACTAGAAAACAGTATTGAACTCCCACGTATAGTTCCATTAATGGCACGTTTATACTTATACACTACTATACTAGAGCTGTGATAAAGGGTTATTTTTCTGTAACAGGTTACAACGTTTCAGTTTTACCTTGGTAATAGGTTTTAAAATGCGGTTTCAAAAGGAACATGTTCCTTTTTAAATTTTTCATTAAAAATGCAGAATGATAAATAATGATGATTTCCTTGATTTAAAACATAATTCTTAACATTGGTAAACTTAAAATAAAATATTCAAAAATAAAAAACAAAACATGGGTCAGAAGTAACTACTTAAAGAACATAAAACTGATACTAAACTAAAGTGATTAAATAAAATATACAGTTGATATGCGAAAATGTTTAAAAATTTTTTTCATTTAAAAATGAATTAACATTTAAGAATAATATTTTTTGCAGATGCTTTTTACTGATTCTAGTTCTTCGCTTGTTTATGATAGCACCCGCTTTAGAAAATAGTCTCTCGCAGTGCGTTTCACAATAACATTAAATAATCCACAATAACAACAAACAGAAATGCGGTTTGTCAAACCTGGACGACGTATTACTCGAGTTAATCTTGTAACCAAACCAATGTTTATTACTATTCAAATAACTCATTTCATCTCTGACTGAACACATTCTGCTTAAAACATTTGTTCTTTTACATTTCAACTGTGATGGAATTTATGTCTTAGACTCTTAGTTTGCTCATATGCAAGTGTACATCATGCTTAGTTTGCCGACAATGGGCATATAACTCTCCCGGGATAAGTTTCTTGAGAGAAATCCCTTTTTTTCAATATTTATTACAGAATGTCAGAAAACTAAATACTTATAGACTAAAAATGCTGAACTATATCATCGCAGCAACTTAACAAATTTTCGCTGATCTGAACGACTATGGTTCCTGGAGAACTAAATAGTAATTCTTATAAACAAAAAGTGATCACACAATCGTCAAGGCAACGCGCATCTACATACAACTTATTTTCGGTTGACAAATGTTTACTGAAATTGCTGCAACTGGATAGAGCGCTCGACGATGCCGCATCGGTTCTGTGCTGACGCGAACAACTTTTTCAGGTTTATGAGACGGTTCCAAAAACAACCTTTTAATCGGCAAACTCCTGCAGCTGGTGCGAAGTGTGCTCAACTGTTTCGGTTTTATGAGACGGTTCCAAAAAAACTGTTTAAATTGGCAAACGGCTGCAGCTAGATAGATCGCTCGACGGTGTCTCCATCGGTTCTGTACTAGTTTCATGAGACGGTTCCCAAAAAAATCGGTTAAATTGGCTAGCTGTAACTACGGTTTCAGGTTACACGTTTGGAGCACTGTTATTTCAGCGGTTACGTTAAATACCGACCATCCCTATACTATACTATACACTTTATACTTATACGGATATTATTAAAAGCAGCCCATTGATTAATATGAAACCAAGCTTTATGGACAGGTCACAATGTTTTGTTAAACATGTCTTCGATTGCGCTATTGAACTGAATCCTCAGATTATTATTTTTTTCATGCATTTTGGGCCACAGCAATATGAAACTTTTCTGCAATCTTTGTCACAGCGTTATGCTTTTTTACTGGTTCGTTGTACAATTTGCTTTTATTGTGTCATATTTGGGGACTCATATAAAAGTAGACTATTGCTTAACTATACCCATATGTATCAAACAAGCTAAAATATCAGCTATTATACCGGGTGCTAGAAATGTTCTTATTTTGAATACTGCAATATATGTTTTAGGCAGGAATCCCTGACTATATTTATATAGATATGTAGATATACTTAATAATTCTAATAGGTGTCAGATATAAACGCAAAATAATATGCAACTCACAAACTATTGGCAATAAGCTAAACCGACGTGGAAATTCTTGGCATTATGTAGAAATGTTGTCGTGTAGTTTTTCTAACACTGTAAATTATTCTGTTCTTACAACCCTTAAATGATATCTACCTATTGTCTAGCAATGACTTTCAAATCAGATTTCAATCAATAGAAATCATGCAAATAGAATTTAGTTACAATCAATTTTTTATCTCGTAAAGAAAACAAGATACGATAGAAATTCAAGACTCAAAAAGTTGCATTTTTCCCGTTATATCAAAAATTAATTTTAAAATTTACCGTTATACTTATCAAATTTTTATTTTCAAAATTTGAGTGTTATTTTTTAATGCAATTGATTAATCAGTTGGCCCGTAAACACCCACCGGGAATACCTTATCAATTTAGTAACAAATGTTGAAACATTAATAAAACGCGCCGTTTTTACATATCTAATAATAATGAAAATTTTACAAATAATTTTTATTATGAGTTTCAGATTTTGTGCTTCTAAAACGCTTCATTTTTTGACATATATTTCTACAGCAAAAGTGCTTATGTTTTCGTTTATTTTGTTGATACAAGTTTGCTGATATATTTATGGAACATCCCGTATATAAGGATACTAAAAATTTGAGGGGGTGAGGGATAGACTGGCTGTAAATTTGGGATGGATCATCTCTAAAAGTTGAATTGCAAATTCAGTCATTTTTTTATGAGAAATATTTGACTAACCTTGTATAATAAGTATATCGTGGGCTTAAAACTAAAACTGACCAAATCTAAAATATAAATTGTCGGTAAATGCACTGTTGAGCCAAGCCAAAAATTATA